TGTTTTTTACCCTGGCCTCAGTCAATGTCTAGTCAAAGGGCTGAAGAATAAACTGACCTTTCTCCTTAAGTCTCTTCCTAAATGTCAGAGCTGAACCCTTTGATATGGCCATGGGGCACATCAGTGATTTCACAAGCCACGCTCTCCAAGGATGCTCACTTTTGCTCTCATTGAAGTGATCCTGGAGCTTCCAGGCTCTGGGTAAAGGGTATGGGAGGAGAGAGGAAACTAAAGATGCTGTTTATTATGGCATACCAAAAATCTCTGCATCCGTCAGTTAATGCAATGAAGGCCTGCCTCACCCAAAGCTTATTGTTTAAAAATTATAGCTCTTCTTGTAGTTATTTTCCTAAAGGTAAGCAGTAATATTCTCTCTCCAGGCTGAGGGCAAGTGAGATCATTTAGTCCAAAATAAAATATCACCAGTTTAAATCTCCATTTAGCAACATCCACTTAAAAACTGTAAACAGATGGGCAAACGTGATGTTGTTAATCTTCTAACCAGGGCTATGGCAAGTGTCATCCTTCCTATTTTGTTCTTTTAATGAGAGAGATGGTGACAGATTAACTGGTGCATTCACAGAACCTCAGAGTCCTGCATTCCAAAACAGAAACCAGCTTGCCTGTCTCATACATCCTAGACTGCCAGGCTAGAGAGCCATTTTGGATGTGATGAAAAGCATGTGGAGGTGTTGTAATTACTCAACGTTAATTCCTATGCTTCAAGCCCTAGGAGGTAATGGTGCATGTAAATTTAATTAGTATGGAAAGAGCATCAATTTTCTCACACAGGAAGAAAAAATCTCTAACATCCTGCTTTAATCTGTGTCAGTTGCCTCGAGAAGAGAAGTATCTCTTGGGGAAGAGGTCTCGGTTTCATACTGGCCATAGACAACCTTCCTCTACTATTGCCATGAACATTTTATATCTCCTAGAGCAAAAGTTTTGATTACCTTATCTCCCCAAATCCTGAAATTTCTAGACCTTAACCTATAGTCCTGAAAATATCATCACCCTGATCAAAAAACAAATTTCTCTCTAAAATAAAATTGCCCCAAACAGTCATTATGAAAAAAAATTGTGTCTTTTGAATGCCTGAAAGTTTATGTGACGTTAGGTCCAAAATAAGGTTATTGATCAGGTTCTGGCCTTCGATAACTTGCATTTATACCATAGCAGAGAGGTAAGTATTGAAAATATGCAAGGTGACTAGGTATCTTTCACTCAACTTCATATACATGTTTGAGTGGCCAGCAGTCAAAAAGGAAAAAAAATATTTGGAAAGAACAGATTAACTTGGAGTTAGCAGAGTAAAATTGTTAGGAGCTCAGACCAATGAGTCAAATCAAGTAGGGTTTGAAATCCAGTTCTGTTAACAATGGCCTTTCTATTTTTATTTTAAAGCTTCAGCTTCCTCATCTGTAAAATAGAAATCAGAGCAGGGCACAGCTGTGGAATAGGCATGGGATAAAATGAGGTGATGCACACAAGGTTCTTAACAGTGCCCAGTCTGCAGAACACTCTTACTCATTACTACCCCTGCTGGCCTGTACATTCCAAGAAGGCAGAGAGGGTGTCATTGACAAAATAGCTATTGTTAAAATCATTAAGTAAATCTTCCTTGGCCACGCACCTTGAAAGCAGTAGAGATAGGATCTAAACCCTGGTTCTCTGGCTCCAGAGCCAGTCTCCTCAGTAGATACACTACTCCTGGAGAAATAAACGCCAGATAGGCAGAGTATCTGCCCAATGGAAGGATCCTTTTGACCCAGGCAAATAAACTTACCACCAATTTGAAAAAAAAAAAAAAGCCCCTATGGGGAAATCTGAAATAAGGCAGAATTTGACAAAAGCTTTGAAAAGTTTGATCAATCTTATATTACACAACAGGAATAATTATTCTTATTGATGATGGCAGTTCCTCCACCTGAGTCAGAGATTGTATTTCTTCACCCAGGGCCCAACAGGGAAAACCTCATTGCATGCAGAATTTTCCACAATAACAAGCTCAGATGTTTTTAAGGATACCTGCCTGTCTAATCTCTCTGAACACCTTCCTAAACAGACCTACTAAAATAAAATGATGGCCCAATTGCAATTGTCTTTTAGGAGAAGGATAAATTATTTTATTCCTCTTATTCTTTACATGATGTGTAGCACACACTGTTCCCTGGATAGGTGACTCACTGTAGACCTATGAGCTTCTTCTTGTTTCCTCTAGTTCTCTTCTTTCAGTATTATTATTCAGGTCATCCATTTCCAGCTCTAATTTGTATCTTGGTTCCTCATTCAAAACACTTGTTATACAGCTAGCCATTGGTAATTCAAAAAGAAAGGGAGGAAATTACTCATATTTCAATGTGTTCAAAAGCAAAGTCATGGGCTACCTCAAAGGGATATCTGAAATAGCAATAATTTATGAGGACATGAAACCCTGTGGCTGAAAGTGTGAACTCTGAAGTCAGACTGCCTGACATCAAATCTTGAACCAATGAGTTTTGGTGATCTTGGGATAGTTGCTTCACCTTGATATCTGTCTGCCTCAGACTGCTCATCTATAAATGAATATTAATAATACTGGTGACCAGCTTATGTCATTACAAGAATTAAGGGCTTCACTCTTTGTCTGGCACACAATAAGTGCTTGGAAAATATTGGCCATTGAATCATGATTCATGTAACCGAGAGTTGTCATCATAAGCACATGCCCCCTCTCCTGAGCAAGATAAGCATTTGTGGAGGCCTAGAAGAATCCATATCAGGGAAAGATGCATGTCCTAGGGTGTGTGGCATATAAAATAACTGACAAGGGATGTGCATGAATTTGTGTGAAAGACAAAGAGAACATTTTCAGTTTTAATTCTAAAAACATATTTATCATTTCCCATGAGTTTAGAAGTTCCTGGTATCTGGCATGATTAAATTGTAATTCTGCACATAAAACTTAAAAGCAAAAGCAGGATTAATTTTGTGTTGGTGGTGTTCAATAAGGGAGATGTTTTTTGATGTGCCAATAAGATATGTGTTGGGATCTTAAGAGAGATCTCAGGGTTAGCTAAAGATCAAATCTGGGGAGGTGCAATAGTACACACGTCTGTCATCCTAGCTACTCAGGGGGTTGTGGAGGAGGGTGGAAAGTTTGAGGTCTATCTGGGCAACTTAGACCTATCAAAATATTAAAAGACCTAGGGATGCAGCTCAGTGGTAGATTGCCACTGGGTTCAATGCCTAGCACAGGGTGGTAGAAGGGGGGCTCAAATCTGTTTAGTTGCAAGTGAGAAATTAGTTAAAGCTGCAGGAGATGAACTCACAGAAACATGGTACATAACAAAAGCTGAAGAGAGGAGACTGAGAGTGGAGAGGAGAATGCATTCATCTCAAATCCTTGAAGAAAACTGGGGACTGGAAAATGCCACTAGACTTGGTCAATAGGAGTAATGAGGATGTAATCAACAAGGTTAAATAGGTTGGTTGAGTAGCTTTAACTAGTTATATTCTAAGAGGCTAAAGAATGTGCAAGTTGTGAAAAGTTGAAAAGATCAGTGTATTCAGTAAAAGATGCCAAAAGGTAGAGGGAAAGGACTGCTGTGACTTTTGTATGAATTATAAATGCCTAAATGAATTTGGGGAAGGAGCAGAGTACTGTTCCCTCGACTCCTGGCCTACTCACAAGCTTCGTGTCATCTTATTAAATGTAGGAGTCTAAACTTAATCAACAATTAATTTGCTAAATGTTTGGCTTATGACAATCTTGACCTTTTCTTTAGAAGTGACTGAGACGGTGAGTGAGTTCTGACTTGCCCTGAAGACTTGGGCCACCATTCAGAAAGCTAGTTTAGTAGCCACTTATGAGCTGTAAAGAACCAATGGCACTCAGCTGTCTGCAAATTACTAACTGGCATTCTTCCTTTCAGTTAATGAAGAACTACCTCAGATTGCTCACCACCAATACAAGCACAAGGGTGGCTCGTCCCTGCACCAGAAAATGAAAAGGACGTGACTGTTTGAACTGACCAATAGCTAAAACACAATGAATTTCTACTGGTCATAGAGCAACGTCAACAGTTTAAATAATAAAGTAGGTTGATAAATTAGAAGCACAGCAAAAGTAGAATTCTAGGGCGACTATTCTGAGCCACATGAAAAGTGGCAGTTATTGACCAAGGGGACTTCTAAGACTCGGCATCAACAGTTCTTAGAAAAGTACCAAGTACACAAGATTTACTTGCATAGGCTCAATGGACTGGATGCATCATGTTTAAAATCTACTGTTTACTTTGAAATGCATTTTCAAATAAAATTCTCAGGCATCAGTATTACATAATCCCATGAAAACTCACATTATTCTGATTTTAGAGGTGAGAAAACTCCAGAAGATATCAAATGAATAGTAAAAGATGAGTGCCCTAGAGGGAGCTCTGTGGATGCCCTATGAAAGGTGTCCACCTGGTCCTCTAGTAGGGCAGCAACTCTTCCACAATACCCTTTCAGACGTTTCTGGACCTGAGTATGCATCTCTCCATTTCCCAAGAGCTTTCACAAATCACTGTGACAAACACAAAACAAGAGGAATCTCTCAATACTAGGGACAGATCACTCATCAATGGTGCTCTCAGCATGGTGCGAATTGAGAATATGGCATTTTGGTGCTGGGAAAAGAGAGAGAGAACACAATGTTCACATAACTCCTGGTGAAAAGAATTCAAGTCTTTGCCTATAAAACCAAAACACCAGGGAGCTATTTCTAACTATGGAAAGAAGTCAAAATTTCACTAGCAGAATTCTTCTTCTATAGGAACCCTGAAGAGCCAACATAAATAACTGAAAGAAACATTTAATTCAAGATGGTGGTTTAAATAGATTACTATTGTACTCTCCACATTTCCCTACTAACATTAACAAAAGATGTTCAGTATGTCCTAAATCTGGTTATATTCCAGTCTTTGCACGTGACTAATGGGGTATTGGTGATTCACTTTATAAAACAGTAAATTTTGTCAGCACCAATTTTGGTAGTGATAGTCATATAAAATACTGTGGGGATGACTCAAAACATAAATAAAGCATCACCAGTGTGAGATATATTCTGCTTATTCCCTTCAACCCCACCCCCAAATTCCTCGTATGCATTGTGAATGGTCTGTTTGCACGTCTTACATAATATAACCCACTCTTCAACTGAAGACACTCATTTCTCCATTTTATTGCACTCGATTACAATGAAAATATCTGCTGGGGCTTTCAGAAAGATAATTTATAACAACAGTGTTCATGCCATATGGAAGGAATAACACTATTTTTTCGGTTCTGGGAGGGATCTCTTTTTAGCCTTTGATGGAATCAGCCTGTGTAAAAATGCTTTCTTTAACAGAAGGTGTGAAAGGACACATCATACCCTCATCTCAGCAGCTGCCAGCCAAATCTATGGTGCAGCCTTCAGAGTTCACTCCATTTTCCTCCAGAAATAGGCACTCTGAGAGCCTGAGTTTGGGTTATGGTAGATGCCTGCCTACCACCTCCCCTATTGTGGTAACAGATGAGTTCTAAACATACATGTTTCCTACAATAAGCATATCCAAGTAGTTTAAATCAAGACCTATTTCTTGTTGCTGCCGAATAAAGTGGGAGTAAGGAAATCGTCAATGAAATTATGACTGGACTCGTGAACTTTCTATGCATAGAGAGGAACAGTAATATGTTCGTTTCCCCATGGAGAAAATGAGTCCCAAAGATTTCATTACCATCTGTTTGAAGGCGCTACTAACAAATTGGTCAAATTAACCACTAAGCATGGCCAAGTGGCTGCAGGTTAACTCTTTGCTCTTCGCATGCTCGTAGATCCACTTTAAGATTTCATTTTTTTCATTACTGCCACCAAAACAAGCTGTCTCAGTCTTCATCCAAATAAGGTTCAGTCTCCTTACATCACTCATAGGCATGTCCATTCAATGTTCCAAAGCCTTTCACCAGGGGCCACAAACACTCCCACAACCCAAAATGGTCTCAGCTTGACAATTTCTAATCTTATTTCTAATGTGAAAGTGAAAGACTTTCCAGCTAGAGATAATGTTTCTCCAACTAAATCTTCAGTAAGATAATGGGTGCTTTAAGTTCTGTCACACACTGTTTTATTCAATGAAAATTTACCAACAAATGATTTTTTTTTTTTTTAAACAGAACTAACCTAAAGCTGATAACATTAACTTTCTTTCTCTTGATGATCACTGGTAATTTGATACTGCCAAAGATGATCTGCAGTGGCTGGGGTTGTAGCTCAGTGGTAGAGCTCTTGCCCAGCACATGTAAGGCACTGGGTTTGCTTCCCAGCACCCCATAAAGAAAAATAAATAAAATAAAGGCATTGTGTTCATCTACAACTAAAAATTTAACAAAACAAAAGATGGTTTGCAAAGAGAGAGGGACTGCCAATCTGTGGATATTCCATATTCCAATGCTGTATTGTTGATAAAACAGAAAATTGGACATAGAAATACTATTTGCGATGACATTTCAAAAAGCTAAATGCTTATAACTATAATCTGGCCAAGTAACAATTTCTAGAATTTTCTAGTAGCAATAGTAAAAATCAAGAACAGATTTCCCTTGAAAACTTATTTGGTTGAAAAAAAAATCTCAGATATCAGAACTAGTAACTAATAAACTCTCAGAATTCATGTCAAACATTCTGTAAATCAATTTTCTGATTTGTGTTTATAAAGTTTTCAAACTATGCTCATAAGATTCCTGCTTTCTGGGCTGGGGTTGTGGCTCAACGGTAGAGCACTTGCCTAGCATGTGCGAGGCCCTGGGTTGGATCCTTGTGCACCACATAAAATTAAATAAATAAAATAAAGGTATGGTGTCCAACTACAACTAAAAAATGCTAAAAAAAAAAAAAGAGAGAGGGAGAGAGATTCTTGCTTTCTGACTTTATAACTAGCATGTGCTAATCAGAAAAGACCTCTTGAGTTTTTATCAGCATTGAGGCAGTGGCATCTATCCTGACATGGGTGACAAACAGAATGAAGCAAGAACCATATAATCAAAAATTTTATTTATAATTTCAATTAAATAGACTAGGAATTCAGAAATATTCTTTCCACCTTATTAAACTTGTTCAAATCCCTATCTCAAAACTTCGCTGACGTTCCTATTTACTCTATGATTTGGGGCTGTCAAAGATCAGTTTACCAAGTAAGATCATGACATCCTAAGACATACAAAATATTTAAAAAGACACCCGTGCTGATGTCACACATGGGATTATCAACATTTTTCCCAAGTGGCTCTTTGGGTACTAAGTCCTCAAAGATGCTCTCAGTGGCTCCAGAATGTCAACCTGTCCTTGCTTTCTCAGCTGAGTAAAACTGAGCCCTAAATGAACACAGCACCCTGTATTCCCTAGAGTCCATAGGTGCTGTAAAGACAAACTTTCTTTTAATCACTGCTATTATAATTAGATACATTAAAGAATATGTTCTCAAAACCCCTGGGAAGATCAATCTATGATTTAACTATACTACACATAAAAAACTTTCTGATGAGAAATATATTTTCAGAATCATATTTGGTTTCTTATTTCTAAGCCTTGGCTTCCTGAGAGGAGTTGTTTTTCTAAGAATTAGAGAGAAAGTGAAAAGGGCCTTCACAATTTCACGATAATTTAGTGGGAACAGATCTCAAAGACAAGTTATGCAAATTATATTTAATGCACTCACTTTAAGTGACTACAAGAGAAATTCTATATAACATTTGAAAAGAAATATACCATTTGTCATTTGCTGTACAGCGTTTAAAAGAAAATTTAACACATCATCTGATGTGCTTGGGTGAAATCTTTGCAATAAACCCTCCTAATCAGACTTGGATGCAGCCGCTCACCCCAACCCTAGCAGTCTGGTCTGCCTGATAGGTTGAGGTGGAGTGCACACAAAGTTAAAAAGCACATGAAACAGAGGAGCAGGATTCAGATGGTACAACTAAAACAGTTGCTGAAAGCAAAACAACAACAACAAAAATATACAAAGGAAGCAAGCAAAAATATTCCTTGGAGAATTTATAAAAGCTGGGGTACTATTTAAGCAGGCGGAAAGAATCTGGCATGCTAAACATTAGATTTACAAACTTTCAACATTGCTTTCACCGTTTCAAATCAGTGATGCTGGCAGCAGCATTAAAATTACAAAACAGTGGAAAACGGAATTTTATTCTGCAAAATACTAGTAGGACTTCTGATGAAAACATCACTCCCAATTTATTTTTTAAAACCTTTATAATAAAAAAAGAAAAGCAACATGTTTAGAGAATAAACAAAACTTTATTTTATAACAGTATTACAGAAAGCAAAATATCATTTAATACAACTTGAAGCTGCTATAAATCTAATCTGGCATCATAACTATACATAGGGTCAAAAAGCAAAGGAAGAAATTTTCAATACAGTTAATAAGTCCCTATCAGGTCTCTGGTGTCACCTTTAAATGGTATAGCTTTCTTATAACCAACGCAAACCACCATAGTCCCCTACCCTTCTCTCAGCATCCTCAAACCTGTGTGAATCATCAAACTATCTGAAAGAGATTTGCTCAATAACAAAAGGTCAGTTTTACACATAGACAAGGAGGTTTAATACAAAGCAAGTGTTCTATCCAAGTGTTCAAATAATGGAAAGTATTGAAATTTGGAAATGTTAAAAAAGAAAGCACTAAGGTTTTAAGCTGCCTGAATTTTTTAGTAGAAGGGAAGAAACAGATTTCTCTTCTCTTCCCTCCTGTTCTGGAATGCTGTCGAAGAGAATGTGTCTGAGAAGCACTGGCACTGGGGTGCATCTCTGAGCACAGTGCATGGTCAGTGAACTTTATAATTCTCCAGTCTGAAGATTTTCTGACTCTTTACTAAAAGTAAAAAGTCACAAGACTGGAAAGTCAAAAGGGTTCAATATAAAAAAAATCCCCAGTGAAATTCTCAAACATTAGAAAATTTTCCAAGATGTAAGAAATGCTTTTAATCTTATTAATATTTTTCTCATACAGTATATTTACTGCAATCTGAAAATTGTAAATATTGACTGTAAGAATTCAATGGAAAGAATCTGGAAGAAGAAAACCCACTATCTAAATTAGTCACAGAGTTTCCTTTCCGCACAACAGCACCTGTTCAAGTGAACAGCACCGTACCAGCAGCCCAGGCTGGCTTTGTTCACTGTCATTTAAGCAAATGAGTCATGAAAAGCAGGTAGTTGCACACAAAGTAAACAGGAAATAAAACGAAACTACTTAATTAAAAAAAAAATAGAAAAAAGAAAGGGAAAAAAAACCCAAGGATATTTAGAAGTGGTTATAAAACAAAATATATTAAAAATGCGCGAGAATGGTACAGACCAGAGCTGTTAAGGTAAGGTTTGGTGTTGGCATTTTAATTCTTCAGGCTTCTGGTCACTGTTACCAGCCATAGCACAAATTTGCTGGAGTAGTGGTGTGGCATTAAGACTTGGAATGGTCAAATTCTTTAGGTTCATAAAGTTGTATGTTGTTTAGAAGATGACTTTCTAGGAGGAAAAAAAGAAAGAGAGATAAGGTTTAAATATTCCAAAAACAGAAGACGGAAAAAAATGTTAAGTAATGCTCATCAAGTTTTTAATCAAGTAATCAACTGTCATCCACCAAGATCTATAGTAAATAATGTTTATCAGAAGACTAGCACAAGTGGCTATTCCAAATTTGAGAGCTCTAAAATTTCTGGAGAATTGACAAATACACTACAACTAAAAAATAAGACTGCAGTACAGAGATTTAATCAACATAAGACAGAGATAATCTGCATATTATACAGCCTCCCATCCACAGTTTTGTTTTCTGTAGTTTCAGTTACCTATAGTCAACTGTGGTCCAAAAATAATATGTGGAAAATTAAAGAAATAAACAGTTCATAAGTTTTAAACTCAGGACCAATCTGAGGATGGCATGATGAAATCTCACCCTATTCCCCCCAATCCATGTACCAGCCTTCTGTGCAGCATATACATACTGTACATGATACCCATCCATTAGTCACTTAAGAGATGTCTCCGTTTTCAGGCTGAGTGTTGCAGCAGCACAGTGCTTGTGTTCACGAAACCCTTATTTTATTTAAGAAAAGCCAAAAGTACAAGAGCAGTTACGCTGGCAATTTAGATATGCCAAAAAAGGAGCCATAAAGCTCTTTCTCTAAGTAAAAAGGTGAAAGGCTAAGGGAGGAACAGTACATATACTCATTTAGTACTATTCTTAGTTTCAGGCATTCATTAGTCTTGGAAAATCTCCCCATTGGGTGAAGGGGGAACACTCTAAGAGAGAAACAAGTGGAGATTTTAAAGCTAGACTGAGAGTTAGAAAGCCAAAGCCCATTTTCACTTCATTAACATGAATAGAAAAGGTGCTCCAGGTGAAGAGAATGGAAAGATGCATACAGGTGGAAAGGCACATGGAATTATGATATTAGAATGGGTATAAAAGTGTATGTTCTAGAGAAAACAGGAATGAAAAAATAATAGGATATTGAAGCAATGAACTTTATTAAATTAAGCATGGAATAATCAGTGATGGAAGATAAGGTAAATATTAGGTCTATTCTTTAATACTAGACTGAGAAGTGTGGACTCAATCTAATATGAAAACAACAAAAAAAGAATGAATTCAGAAAGAACATCCAGACAAAAAGACCAGCGGGCAGTCTACTGTAATGATCCAGAGCAGAGTACAAAAGCCAGGGAAAGGCAAAAGGCAGATCAAAACACCAGAAAGGGTAGGAAGTTCATACAGGGCATGATAAGTGCAGGAAAGAAAGCTGGAAACTGCTTCCTCTTTGGTTTTGAGGAAGAGTTTGGCAGGGCCTGTTGTATGTTCTGAAAACTCTGCTGTGGCTTCAGGGTGGTGAATAGGCTGAAGGCAGTGCAGCATAGGCAGGAGTCTGGGCTGGCTGAAGAAGATGGCAAAGGTCATTTATTTTCACTAGATGGCAGTACCCAGATATGAGTGATTACCACTGACAGGTCCACTCAGATTTGGAGAAAAGTGCAAGTGTGGTGATTAAGAAGGCAGTATCTGAGAACAGCAGACTTAGAGCCTAGGTAAGGCATTAGCATAGCACCAGGAATGTACATTTGGGAGTTGGCATGAAGAGATCCAAGTCAAAACCAACAGACAGAAATAAGTCTCTTATGAATACAAGGAAAAGTGAGACACAGTCTTGGGAAATTCTATTATCAAAGGTAAGCAAAAAAGATTTAAAAAAAAAACACAATGGTACACTGTCCTCCTGGAAAAAAAAGTTTTAAGAAGGCAAATATTTTATTTTCAATTTCAGCTTGATTAGGAATTTTGGCAAATGCTAAGTAATTACAGAGGACAGTGGAGAGTGATAATTAATGTTCTTTCCAAAAGGCACTGGTTCCAAAGTCACTTAGAATGTATATTCTTTTGGTTAGATAAAATTAAGGCTGATTGTAATGAAAAATATCCCCATCATTTAGATGTATCACAGATAATATTATAGCATCTTGATTATTCAGGAGAGATTGATGAATCAAATTCATTGTTTCCTATCCTGCTGTCTGCCTTAGGCTATTTTATTACTCATTAGCACTTCTGCTTGATTCCAGGCAGGGGGAAATCAATGGAGAAACATAAAAGAGTCTTTTGCTAGGTTAGTTATCATGAAAAGGTGAGGGATTATAAGGAGAAATGGATAAAATTATCACTTAAATTGTATTTGGGCATTTTCCAAGACCATTAGTCATGCTACCTACTCTTGTTCTCCAAGAACTGGTATGTATCTCTGTTTGCTCTGCTTAATAAATATGTATCATTTGTTGGATAGAGCTGACATTTTGCTTAGCTTACATTAGAAAACAAACCCTTTAACCTGATGAAATAATATTTTGGATATATTAGGTTAATAAAATGTGTTATTACAATGAAAAAAAAAACAAAAGAAAAACAATTTCGTGATTAGTTGTCCCTGGAAACCTATAGAGAGAACAAGATTTAGGATGATTCTCTTCACCATTTTCT